TTATTATTATATTATATTATTATATTATTTTATTATTTTATTAATTATATATTATATATTATTAGTATTATATTATATATTATATAAATATTATTTATTAAAATATATTTATTATTATTATTATTTAATTTTTAATTTATTATTAATTATTTATATTTATTATTATTATTATTTAATATTATAATTATTAGTATTATATTTTTTTTATATATTATTTTTATATTTAATTTATATTATTTATATGATTATTATTATTATATTTTATTAATTATTTATTATATTATTTTATATTTATTATTATTATATTATAATTTTTCAAATTTTATATTATTAGTATTATATTATATATATATATATTAAAATTATTAAAAAATTATATATATATATATATATATATTTTTTATATTATATTTTATATTGCTAATATTATTATTATTTATTTATTTTATATTATTTATTATTATTATTATATTATCATATTATATATTATTAGTATTATATTATTATTTTATATTATTATATATTTATATTATATTATTTATATGATTATTAATATTATTAATATTATATTATTATTTATATTAATTATTTTTATTTTTTTTTATTATTATATTATCAAATTATTATATATTATTTAGTATTTAATATATATATTTTATAATTATTTATTTATTTTATATATATATATATTTATATATATTATATTTTTTTTAATATTAATTATATATTTATTTATTATTATTATTTATTTATTATATTATTTATTTATAATTATTATTTTTATATATTATTTAGTTTATTATTTTATTATAATTATATTATGAATATTTTCTTATTATATTATTATTATATTATATATTATTATTTATTTATTATTAATTAAATAATACTAATTATTATTGGCTGTGTTATTATTTTAATGATTCATTTAAATTACTGACGCAGGCTCCATCTAGTGGCCATAAATGGGAGTATTGTCTTGATTCCGTAGGAACGAATAACCTTCGACCTGGAGAGAACACAGCCTAATGACATTCGATTTTGCCACCGAATAGCTCTGCAAATTTCTTTTTATGAACGCACTCTTATTGGTCGAGCCTTTTTTTGTTCTTCCGCTGAATAGTTTCAATGGAAGGGCAGCAATTTTCATGGCTTTGAAAGATTGAATCCTAGGCTCAGGGGCGGACTGACCATTTGGAAACTCTGGCACTGCCTGAGGGCCCGGGGTCAGTAGGGGGCCCCATGAGATGCCCATGGTACCTTTTTCATAGGCTTTTTTGAGTTTGGGCAAGGACACAGGGGCCCCATGATCCCCTATTGTCCGGGGACCCCATGAGTTGTCAGTCCGCCCCTGCCTAGGCTGTTTCACTGTAGAAAGGATGAAAGTCTTCGAATCAGAATCCAAGGGTGACTTCGAATTCGAACGCAATTGTTGGGTCGGGCGCGCGGCTAAACGGAGAGACGGAAAAAAAAAATATTTTTTTTCTTTTCGCACTCAAACAGAACTTTCTAAGCCTCCATTGACTTTTTAAAATCTTTTTTGTTATATAAATTAAAAAAGACCAAAAATTGTGGAAAAAAAAATATTTTATTTTACTTACCGCGATAAAACATATTCACTAAATTTTTTTTTTTTTTTTGCACTCAAATAGAACTTTCTTTCGGAGGCATTTGGTCTCCATTGACTTTTTTAAAACTTTTTTATATATATAAATAAAAAAAAAAAAAAAATTTTGAAAAAAAAAATTTTTTTTTTAAATTACCGCGATAAAACATATTCAATAAAAAATTTTTTTTAAAGATCGAATTTCTGGCCAAAGTGTATTCTGTTACATGTCTTTGGTAAAAAAAAAATAATAATTGCAATAAATATAGAAGCCGGGGTATATGTTGTACGCTGGAATTTTAATTTTTTATACCAGTGCTGGCGGTGATCAGCGACTGATAGTGGGACTGTGATAGTGCGGCGGGCAATCTGACGCTGGTAGGAACTGACAAAATGACGCTGACATCCCCAGTGACACCAATACAGTGATCAGTGCTGATAATCGACACCGCGGGTGTCAAACTGACTGTTGCCAAACTACAAGTCCCAGGAGGCATTGCAAGATTGACATCTACAAGCGTGACCCCCCAAAGGCAGAGGCATGATGGGACTTGTAGTTTCACCAGAGCTGGAGGGCCGCCAGTGTGACCCCCCTGATCTACACTGACACCGGCTGGGATGGGGTAACATCTGGGGTGACCAATGGGCTCCTGCCTCGGCCCCATTCGCACTGTGCGAATTTTGAAATCGCCAACGCAATCACCGCAGTTCTGTCCACGATTCCAAACCTCACTGCGATGGCGGCAGAAATGCGCCACGTGCGTTATGGTGCTGTTCAGTCCTAATGGCGCCTCAAATGCGGTGCGATTTTGCTACGCCTTTCGAACGGCAGAATCGCACGCCATTCGCGGCAAAGCGCATCTCGCAAAACGTGTCGACCCGAAAAAGGAACGAGAACCCCACGCGATTCTTTTGCGTGACAATAAACCGCACCGAGTTCGAGGTGTCATTACGAAGGAAATACGCGTTGCGTTTTGCCACAATGGCGCTGCGATTTTCAATGGCAGCGATTCTGGCGGCCATTCAAAATGTGACCCAGATGTGAGGTTGAGGGCCGGGGGGGGGGGGGCGCATCCACACCAGACATGGCTACACAATCAATGGTGGCCTCGTGACCCTAATTTTACCGTCCCGTCATTCACTGCACACTGGCTGAAATCTCATACAAGGCTGGCAGTGGGAGTGTCTGGCTGCTGAAATGAAAGTAAAGAAGTCAGGGATGGTGGGGACCCCTCATAATGGGCACAGCGGGTGTACAGACCCTGGAACACAGCACAGGGATGGTGGGAACCCCTCATAATGGGCACAGCGGGTGTACAGACCCGGGAACTCGGTACAGGGATGGTGGGAACCCCTCATAATGGGCACAGCGGGCGTACAGACCCGGGAACTCAGCACAGGGATGGTGGGAACCCCTCATAATGGGCACAGCGGGGGTACAGAGCCAGGAACTCAGCACAGGGATGGTGGGAACCCCTCATAATGGGCACATTGGGCGCACAGACCCGGGAATCAGCACAGGGATGGTGGGAACCCCTCATAATGGGCACAGCGGGCGTACAGACCCGGGAACTCAGCACAGGGATGGTGGGAACCCCTCATAATGAGCACAGCGGGCATACAGACCCGGGAACTCAGCACAGGGATGGTGGGAACCCCTCATAATGGGCACAGCGGGTGTACAGACCCGGGAACTCAGCACAGGGATGGTGGGAACCCCTCATAATGGGCACAGCGGGTGTACAGACCCGGGAACTCGGCACAGGGATGGTGGGAACCCCTCATAATGGGCACAGCGGGGGTACAGACCCGAGAACTCGGCACAGGGATGGTGGGAACCCCTCATAATGGGCACAGCGGGGGTACAGACCCAGGAACTCAGCACAGGGATGGTGGGAAACCCCTCATAATGGGCACAGTGGGTGTATGAATGGTGTGAATGGGGCCCTGACCTGCAGGGGGGGCGTTTATCCGAAAACGCCGGACGCCCCTAACAGCCGCGTTAGAAACGTCCAGCTTCCCTCATAATGGGCACAGCGGGCGTACAGACCTGGGAACTCAGCACAGGGATGGTGGGAACCCCTCATAATAGGCACAGCGGGTGTACAGACCCAGGAACTCAGCACAGGGATGGTGGGAACCCCTCATAATGGGCACAGCGGGGGGTACAGACCCAGGAACTCAGCACAGGGATGGTGGGAACCCCTCATAATGGGCACAGTGGGGGTATGAATGGTGTGAATGGGGCCCTGACCTGCACGGGTGGGGGGGGGGGGCGTTTATCCGAAAACGCCGGACGCCCCTAACAGCCGCGTTAGAAACGTCCAGCTTCCCTCATAATGGGCACAGCGGGCGTACAGACCTGGGAACTCAGCACAGGGATGGTGGAACCCCTCATAATAGGCACAGCGGGTGTACAGACCCAGGAAACTCAGCACAGGGATGGTGGGAACCCCTCATAATGGGCACAGCGGGGGTACAGACCCAGGAACTCAGCACAGGGATGGTGGGAACCCCTCATAATGGGCACAGTGGGGGTATGAATGGTGTGAATGGGGGCCCTGACCTGCAGGGGGGGCGTTTATCCGAAAACGCCGGACGCCCCTAACAGCCGCGTTAGAAACGTCCAGCTTCCCTGCAGCTCAGTGAGGAATTCCAAAGCTGCAATCGCGTTTGCGTCTCTTCACCTCTCACATGCAACGGCAATCGCATTTCACAGAGAAAGTGGCGCCGCGAGCCGCAGGATGACGTGTCTGTGATTGGCTGCTATAGAAGTCTTTACATGGGATGGGGGGGGGGGATGGGTGCTTTCTGAATCTTTCTGTCCTGCCCACCGGAGTGTGGTGATCCGCAAAGGGCCCCATCGCAGTCTGGGGGGGCCCCAGAAGAATGCAGAGAGCATCGGGCGTGACGCAGAAAATCCACAGCCGGCGCAGGATCATTAAAGTGATGACTCTAATTAATCAGGCAGAGAGTGATTGCTGAGACGGAACGCGGAGGGGGGGAGCAAAGAGGAGCATGGGAGCTTGTAAAGTCAGACCATGATGAGGGTTATGTGGTTCCCGGGTCTGAGTACCTGCTGTGCCCATTATGAGGGGTTCCCACCATCCCTGTGCTGAGTTCCCGGGTCTGAGTACCTGCTGTGCCCATTATGAGGGGTTCCCACCATTCCCTGTGCTGAGTTCCCGGGTCTGAGTACCTGCTGTGCCCATTATGAGGGGTTCCCACCATCCCTGTGCTGAGTTCCCGGGTCTGTACACCCGCTGTGCCCATCATGAGGGGTTCCCACCATCCCTGTGCTGAGTTCCCGGGTCTGAGTACCTGCTGTGCCCATTATGAGGGGTTCCCACCATCCCTGTGCTGAGTTCCCGGGTCTGTACACCCGCTGTGCCCATTATGAGGGGTTCCCCCCATCCCTGTGCCGAGTTCCGGGTCTGTACACCCGCTGTGCCCATTATGAGGGGTTCCCACCATCCCTGTGCCGAGTTCCCGGGTCTGTACACCCGCTGTGCCCGTTATGAGGGGTTCCCACCATCCCTGTGCCGAGTTCCCGGGTCTGTACGCCTGCTGTGCCCGTTATGAGGGGTTCCCACCATCCCTGTGCCGAGTTCCCGGGTCTGTACACCCGCTGTGCCCGTTATGAGGGGTTCCCACCATCCCTGTGCTGAGTTTGTGAATTGATTCTACATGAAGACTGTAGTAGGAGGAGATGGGCCCCCAGCATTGAGATCTCAGTGTCGGTAAATATTGTGTCCGGGACATACAGGAGAGGTGACCGGGCTCCACCTTTATGTGTTTGTGGTTGTCATGCCGCGGTGTACATATGGGTGGAGGGAAGGCGGAGCCGCGCTCACTGATCTGTCATTATGGATTTCGCAGCATAAAGGTGAAGCAAACCCCAGAGACTGAGAGAAGAGGAAACCGTAAAGATCCCTTCCATGACACCCTGTGACACCTTCCACCATTCTAATCCTCGGCATGGTGCCTCCTGGGAGCAAAAACATGTGAGCCGTGAAATCAGGGTACAGTGAGGGTACAGTATGGCCAATCCTCCGAAGACAAAGGGCTCTCTAACTTCAACCTCCCGGGGCCCAGGGCTCCATTACCACAACCACCAACACCACCACCATCACTGACACCACCACCGACACCACCACCACTGCTGACACCACCATCGACACCACCAACACAACCATCACCACCACTACTAAACCACCACTAACACCACCACTCCATCCCCCACCTACAACACCCACCAAACAACCATCACCACCAACTACTACCCCACCACTAACACCACCACTGACATCACCACCGACCCACCACCAAAACAACCCCACTAACCCCACCAAACAAAACAATCACCAAACCATACACAACCAAAAACTAACACCACCACAAACACCACCACCACTACTACAACCCCCCAACAACCACCACACCACCACCATTACCCAAAAACACTAAACCAAAAACCAAAAACTATTACAACACCAACCACCCACCACCCAACCACCAAAACAATACAACCACCACCACACTCAAAAACCACACTAACCCCCAAAACACACAACAACACCCCCCACTACCAACCCACACAAACCACCACACCCAACCAACCATCCCCACCACACACCAAACACTAAAACTCCAAACACAAACCCACATTACAACCAACCAACACAACCCACCCCAACCACCAAAACTACTACTACCACCCCACACCACCAAACCCCACCACCAACAACACAACAACCCCCCTACCACCCAAACCACAAACAACCCCCAAAACCCCCATCACACAACCCACCAAAACAACTACCACCAAAAACACCAACCACCCCAACACCACCACTACCACCCCACAACACCACAAACCACCCCCACCACACACCACCACTAACACCACAACCAAACACCACCAACACACCCACAAACACACCACACACCACCACTAAAAAACACACCACCACACCAACACCATCACCAACACACAACCACACAACAAACTACTTCAAACCCCAAACTACTACCAACACCACCACAAAAACCAAACCATCAACACGCCTAGCAAACCAGAATAGATTCAACCCAGGAGACAAAGGGTCCCTTCCACCGTTCCCATCTTATTACATCAAGAACATAGCGCCCCCCCTCTGTCCGAAGGCACCAGCTTACTTCCTCCTGAAAACCGATCAGAACAGATACAACACTTGATTTTAGCCAAAAGGCAGAGAAGTGACTCAACATGCTATTTTTTTTTTTTTACAAAAAAAACTTTCAAATTTCATTACATTCCTTTTTTTCCATCGCTGGGCATCTGTGCTTCTCTATGCCATGCTGGCAGATCATGGCTGGTGGGAGGGGCCAGAAAGGTGCTGTACATAAGGCATGGTTAAAGCAGAACCCCACAAACACATAATCAGAAAATCTTGCAGGGAGTTGCCCACGATTAGTCCGCACCGGGTGGCCAGGCTCTCATTGGAGCCACTGGGCAAAAGCTCATCTTCAACTGGTGATTCGGTGGCCACAGGTGGCATGGGATCAACAACAATTTCAAACCACTTGTCACCCGGGCCCCAAGTTGGATCCTCTTCTAGATCACCATTGTCCATGGCATCGAACATCTGACTCCTCCAGACCATCTGCCGAAGAGTCTTCAGCCTGGGAGTCTTGGGTCTCGGGCCCACTGGGGACTGGCTGTGCAAGGAGTGGCCGGAACCAGTCCGAGGGGGCTTCTTGTACCGGTGGGAGGTCGGCAAGGTTGAATGTTCTTGGGTCCTAAGTGGGTTTTTCATAACACTCGCCACCCAGTACACAAGGCCTCAACATATTGCAAAGGCAACGGCTTCTTGACCGGGTCACCCGGGCCCCAAGTTGGATCCTCTTCTGGATCACCATTGTCCATGGCATTGAACATCTGACTCCTCCAGACCATCTGCTGAAGAGTCTTGGGTCTAGGGCCCACTGGGGACTGGATGTTCGAGGAGTGGCCAGAACCAGTCCGAGCGGGCTTCTTGGACCGGTGGGAGGTCGGCAAGGTTGAATGTTCTTGGGTCCTCAGTGGATTTTTCATAACACTCGCCACCCAGTACACAAGGCCTCAACATATTGCAAGGTAACTGCTTCTTGGACCCTTCAGAGATCAGGTCATAAACAGGGGTAGGTAGGAAGGGTTGCCCCACCTCCCAGCATGGGGGAGGTTCCAGCTTAGGCTCCTGCTTACTACCCCTGACATGTTTCGTATTTTTCACTAGCACCCGTTCCCCCAGTCACAACGGTAGTTTCTTAAGGGCCTATCACAACACGGTCCACAGATCCACAGGGTGCAAGACCTTCTGCCTCATGTTTGGGCAGTATGGTCACCTGCCCAAAGCTACATCTTTGTGTCTAACACCAGTTGTTTAGCCAGTTGTATTCGTTCCCAATGCTCCTGCACCCAGGTACTGGGGGTACGAGGTGGGAGCTTCTCAGGGGTAACCAATAGGAGGTCTATGGGCAGGTGACCATATTGCCTAAACATGAGGAAGAAGGTCTTGCGCCCTGTGGATCTGTGGAGTGTGTTTTGATAGGCCCTTGAGAAACTACCATTGTGACTGGGGGAACTGGTGCAAAAAATACGAAACATGTCAGGGGTAGTAAGCTGGATCCTAAGCTGGAACCTCCCCCATGCTAGGAGGTGGGGCAACCCTTCCTGCCTACCCTGCTTTATGACTTGATCTCTGAAGGGTCCAACCGGGTCAAGAAGCCGTTGCCTTGCAATATGTTGAGGCCTTGTGTACTGGTTGGCGAGTGTTATGAAAAATCCACTGAGGACCCAAGAACATTCAACCTTGCCGACCTCCCACCTGTACAAGAAGCCCCCTCGGACTGGTTTCTGGCCACTCCTTGAACATCCAGTCCCCAGTGGGCCCAAGGCAGGAGACTCTTCAGCAGACGGTCTGGAGGAGTCAGATGTTCGATGCCATGGACAATGGTGATCCAGAAGAGGATCCAACTTGGGGCCCGGTTGACAAGTGGTTTGAAGTTGTTGTTGATCCCATGCCACCTGTGGCCACCGAATCACCAGTTGAAGATGAGCTTTTGCCCAGTGGCTCCAATATAACTCACTTCCAGAGTTCTTAGCATGCCCAGTAGCGTACGGTTGAACCCCTCGCTAGGCCCCCTTACCTGGAGCATGATAGGTGGTCGAGTGTGACTACCTCTTGCCCAAACTGTGCCGCCTGAGTGATGTTAAAACCATTATAGGTATCAGGGCCAAGACCAACCTGAGAGGAGCCATGCTGGATCCCAGTCCTCCGTAATTGACAGGGCTCAGGACAAAGGGGTGGGCCGGAGGGGCAGCTGCCCTGGGCACAGAGGAGCAAGGGGGGCAGAGAATGGACACGGGGCGTTAACAGTGGGGGAGGGGGTGCAATTCCATATCCGTGCCTTGAGCGCTAGGTAAACTTGCCCCGGTACTGGTCATCGAGACCAGGGTAGGGTCCATAGGGTCCATAGCCCGACACTATAGGTGAGGATGCTGAGGGTCAGTCCACTGCAGGATCCCGGGGGAGCGCCACCTGCAGGAAGAACCGAGTTATACCAAAACAAACCAGACAAAATTGTAAGAATGTCTCCATGGGGGTCCATGGGGGGGGGGTCCATGGGGGGGGGGGGGGTACTGACATCAGAACTGAATGTCAATTAATAAGATGTGGGGGGCCAAAGCCGATACCCTGCCTAGGGCCCCGTTCTGCCTCAATGCGTCTCACCCTGCAATACACGGCAGCCGGTACAAGCCAGGAAAGGACGGTTCCGGATTACAGTGTGACGGTTCCGTCTTCCTCCTTCCAGGACATTCTGGCACAGAAGAGTATTTTCCGCCGATTGCAATCTGTCTGGACGACACGGACTGAACATGGCACCAGCAGCACTCGGGGCTCCGTATATATAGTGAACTCTCCAACATACATCCCATGTCGTTCAGGAGCAGAGCGGCTGCACTGCCTATTCGCCAGCTGGGGACGACTTGTCTTATAGATTGCTGCTGATATTCTTTCTGTAGATTCACAGAACAAAATCTATGATTTGAGTGGTAAGGGGCGTGATATATCGGGGGTGACATCGAGTGAGGGGATTGGAGGACGCAGTGGTGCAGAGTAATATGTAATGAGGGGGGCAGAGTGTGGGAGTAATGAGGGGTGCAGAGTGTGGAGAAATGAGGGTTGCAGAGGGTGGAGTAATGAGGGGTGCAGGGGGTACAGAGTATAGGGAGTAATGAGGGGTGCAGGGGGTACAGAATGTGGAATAATGAGGGGTGCAGGGGGTACAGAGTGTGGAGTAATGAGAGGTGCAGGGGATACAGAGTGTGGAGTAATGAGGGGTGCAGAGTGTGGAGAAATGAGGGTTGCAGAGGGTGGAGTAATGAGGGGTGCAGGGGGTACAGAGTATGGAGTAATGAGGGGTGCAGGGGGTACAGAATGTGGAATAATGAGGGGTGCAGGGGGTACAGAGTGTGGAGTAATGAGGGTGCAGGGGATACAGAGTGTGGAGTAATGAAGGGTGCAAGGGGGGGGTACAGAGTGTGGAGTAATGAGGGTTGCAGAGGGTGGAGTAATGAGGGGTGCAGGGGTACAGAGTGTGGAGTAATGAGGGGTGCAGGGGGTACAGAGTGTGGAGTAATGAGGGTTGCAGAGGGTGGAGTAATGAGGGGTGCAGGGGGTACAGAGTGTGGAGTAATGAGGGGTGCAGGGGTACAGAATGTGGAATAATGAGGGGTGCAGAGTGTGGAGTAATGAGGGTGCAGGGGTACAGAATGTGGAATAATGAGGGGTGCAGGGGTACAGAGTGTGGAGTAATGAGGGGTGCAGGGGATACAGA